TTTCTCCAGGGTAATGTAATAATGCCTTTTTAGATAAAAAAAAAAGAAAAGAAAAGAAAACTTTGCAAACTGAATGTAAGCTTTCAACAAAAAGGCAGAGAAACATTTTCTTGAAAACTATCTAGTTTCTTCTGAATTTATTACTATGTTTCCACTTCCATTCAACTCCCCAAACTTTCTCTGTTCAAGTAGTGAGATATGAGGGTGGATTACCCTAAGGAGGCGGGGCCATCTATCACAGGAAGAACTCAAAACAAAGCATTGCCCCTTTGGTTAGTGCTGACAAAGAAATTACACATTTTGAAAAAGATATGATGAGACAGAGCGCGTGTACCTCCTGCCCCCAGTAGATGGGGTGCGCGGCGAGAGTGGGGTGAAGATGGGCGGAGAAGGAGCGCAGGGAAGGAAGAGTTAAAGCCTAAGGTCAGGCACCCCGCCCCCTCTCTCAGAAGGGTGGAACTGGGAGCAGCAGGAAAAGATCTTTCCTGGAAAATTTTAGGAAGGGAGCCCCTTCCCTGTGGGACCTGGGAAGCATGTACCGTCCTGGTTTCCTTCCACACGACACCAGCTTGGGGACCTGCACTCAAGCCAAGTAGAAAATGTCCAAGATGACAGTACCAGGCTGGGACTTCCAGTGGGGAGCCTCCCAGAGCCACGTTGCGGCTGAAAGGGCCTGTCTGTGGGCCAAAGCGACCTAGGAGTTGAGGAAGAAATTAGCATGCGACTCAGTCAGTACCTCGACCAGGATGGCCAGGGCTACTCAGTACAGGAGGGCAGGGCTGGCCAAAGGAAGCATCTGCCAGTGCAGGACAGAGCAAGGTCAAAGCAGCAATGTCCTCTCCCAAGGCCAAGCCCCCTTTGCAAAGATCCCCCTAAAGAAAGAAGGACAGCTCAAAGTGAGTTGATTGAATTTTAAACTTGAAATGTCTGAAAAATCATTGACATGTCTGAGTTGTCCTGAAAGTAAGTAGATTCAGTCTTCTGCTATCAGGCAGGAGCAGAAGCTAGAAAGAGAATTCAGTTATGGGGAAATAAAGAGAGTTACATGTTGTACAACTGAGTCTAGAGATTATGAAATATCTGTTCTGTGAGATATTTCATAAACATCATCAGATGCATGGAATTGGAAATATTAGAAATATTTATTTTAAATGATAAATATTTAGGAAGCCTGGGCCCCTTCTTGATGAGACCTATTTATTATAAACAACAAAAAATTATTTTACAGGACTGAGTCCTTGTAGGTTAGAGTTTATCAGAATGAAGGTGGCACCAATTTCATTGTTTTTAGGATCTATATGACTGTGGGATCCGCAGGCACAGAATTATTATAGGAGTGAGTGGAAGGCATAGCAAAGAAAACATAGGAATCCCAGAAAAGCCTTGCAGTGTTCTGAAAGCCAGCATACCATGTGAACTCTCAGGAAGTATCTGGTACAGGTCACACTCAGCAGGGGTGGAGGGGTGCAGAGTGGGTAATGACCATCACATTAACCTTTTCCTCCAGAGTAGGAAAAAGCATCTCCAGTTTTACAGTGGAAATAAATGCTAAGGAGAAATAAGCCTGCAGAGCAAGTTTTTTACAGACAATTCTGCTGGAGCAGAGCTTTTTACAAGGACTTCTAAAATTGTTCTTTGTTGCAGGGTTGTGTATAGAGTATTGGGTGATATTTAAATACAGAGCATTTGTTGATAATCACCTGACTTTATTTAGTGAGAAGTGTGCTAACACTACTGCATAAGTGATGCTGAGTTTGTGGGCAGAAGGATCCCCTCTGCTGTTCTTTTCTGGAGAGCTATGCTGCCTACCACCCTTTACAAAGCCTCTTGGCTGAGAAGAGGTCCTGATAACCCCAAGCATAGCGATGCACAAGGCAAACCTCTTTAGCTCCCAACTGTATCAGTTTGTTAGAGCTGCCATGACACAGTACTACAGACTGGGTGGCTCAACAACAGAAATGTATTTTCTCACAGTTCTGGAGGCTGGAAATCCAAGATCAAGGTGTCCTCAGGTCTAGTTTCTCCTGAGGCCTCTCTCCTTGTCTTGCAGATGACCTTCTCCCTCTGTGTCTGTGTCCAATTCTATTTTCTTATCAGGATACCAGTCATACAGGATTAGGGCCCACCCATGTGACCTCGTTTTAACTTGATTACCTCTTTAAAGGCCCTGTCTCTAAATACGGTCACATTCTGAGGTCCTGGGGGTGAGGATTCAAAATCTTAATGTTGGGGAGAGACAATTCAGCCCATAATACCAACTTTCCACACATGAGGTTAGGAATGGTTAGATATTATCCTGGGCCCAGTTTTTGGGATTTAGATGAGATGGAAACAAAGACATTCATCAAACGTCCAAATCATCACATCTTGGCCCTCGAGAATAACATTAGATTTGAAAGTAACTAGGAAGCTAGAGAAGTAGGTAAAGAAAAACTTCGTTTGACATTTTATTTAGACTTTGCTCTGTTCCAGAAGGACATGAGGGGAGGGGACTGCCAGATTAGTAAGGACATAAAGGGCAAGATGCAGGAGACAAACTCAGTTTTGAGTGTCCTCTCACCCTCTCACTGCCACCCCCTTGCCTCTGGCTCCTGTTCAGAAACCTTGCATACCTCTTCTTGGTGACTAGAGTGCCCACCAAGGCTACATCCTTGGAGTGAAGGGTGTGAACAGACAGACAGGAAAATCTTTCGAGTCAGACAGAGCCTGGTACTCTAGGGGCTTGCCAAAGTTAATGTGATTTCCCACGTTAAAGAGGTAACATGCAAAAAAAGAAAAAATAAAGAAATAAAGCAGCAATGTACAGACTGGCATACAGGGCCTGGTAGTGAAGAACTATTTTATGTTGCCACAGAGAATCATCATTAAAGCTTGAGAAACTTGGATGATTTATTAGAAAAAGCTGCATTCAATAATTAACATATTTATTAAGTACTTAGTATATGCCAAGCCATATACTGATCACTGGAGGCTATACTAGTGAGCAAACTTTTAGTAATATTAATAAACACACAAGTGCCAAGCACATATATCTTAACCCATATAACACAGCCCGCCTTTTTTTTTTTTATAGTTGAAACTGAAGCAAAGAGGTTATTTGTAACTTGCTCAAACCCACACAGCGAGGAAGAACTGAAGCCAGTATTTTAACTTAGGAAAATCTGGTTGGGTCCAAACTTCATACTAGTAAAAACCACATGATTCTGACAAGATATTTGGAAGTTAGGCAATGAAGTTATAAAGTCTTTCTCTCTGTTTAGATAGGCTGAGATCTATAAGAGTTTAAAGATATAACTGAGCTCCCAGATGGGTCCAGATAGGAAGTAGGTGGGGAAGGGTGTTCAGAAAGCAAGCCAAGAAGAGGCCAAAGAGAAATTTTATTCCTTCTTAATTTTGCTAGGCAATCTCTAATGAAAAACTGTCACGAAAATCAATCAATGACTGAATGCATTTAATTTTAAAATATAGCATTCAGAGCAGTCTTAAGTATTTTTAGAAGTCCAGTTCCCTATCTTGAAAATCATGAAAAATATGAAGAAAAATGATGGAGCAGAGCATGCCCTTAGCTGTTAGTAGTAGGAGCAAGGGCAATTCTAGGTCTAGTTTTCTAAGCTGTAGTATGAGGAAACTGGGCAAGGCTAGGGTAGAAACTAAAGCCCTAGCCAGCTCTGGCTTCCTAATTTCTCCTTGTTCTTTGTAATTTTTATGTCTCTTATACCATAGAGTTACACCTAGAGTTTCTCTACAATGAGTGTTGTGAAACTTTATTCAAAATAAAGTGCTCACAGAAAAAAACTAAAATCTTTTAATCCCATCATTAGGTTAGTTGTGTAAAAAATGTCCCATCAAGGTTCTTGTACAAACTCCCATTGTTTTCTCAGGCTCTGAGAGGTGACGCTCCAGAATAATTTTATATGGGTCAGCATCTTTTATAAAAGGGTAGTACGCACAGCAGCTTATGAAATTAACTCCTGGAAGCCACAGAGTCTCTCTCTTGGGAAAAGCCTTGTATTTATTTATGTTTAGGTGGTGTCAGTGTTCAGCGGCGTTAAAGGATCCAAGGTCGAAAAGGTCATTTCTCACTCCGGAGTGGGGCTAGTCCCACAGTCCAGGCTACACCTCGAAGTTCTGAGTTCAGACAGTATACAATCCAGTGCTTGGTTTTTATCTGGGGTGAAAGTTTCTTGTTTGCATCCAAACATTAGGGAACACAGCTTTGTGCTCTCTACTGCCAGACGAGCGCCCGCTGCCGACTGAGCACGCTGAGAATGACACTGGGTATCCAGTGGCCTTCCGCTGAGAGCGACCTGTTGGAGTTGAAGAAAATTCCTTTAGGACCTGGCCGCTCCTCGGGCCACGTGTGTGCGCGGGCCACCAGACCCCGCGAAAGGGCCGTTGGCTCCCCCAGCTGGAGCTGACCCGCAGGCGCCCACAGCACATCGGTGCTACGCCGGAGTCATGGCTTCCGCTGTGCACTCCCATCTGGGCGGCAGTCTAACTCCGGACCCGGTTCCCGCCAAGAAAGAGGAGTTTTGCCCCAGCCCACCGTCCCCAGCACCCTCCCACCTCTCGCCACGCCTGCCAGCAGCTGTGTTCTGCAGGCTAGACAGAGCGCGGGGCGTGGCTCAGGGCGGGGCTGCGGGGGTGGGACTCGGCCGAGCGCGCGACAGGGGCGGTGCTTAACGGGGAGGGCGGGGCCGGGAAGAGTGGAAAGCCGGACTGCG